TTCGGACTAATTTCTTCATCTTTTTCGCCATATTTATTACCATCTTTTTGGCCGTTGTACGCTCCGGCTTTCTTCAGGTGGTTGGAATGTCGAACTGTACTCTTTATTTCGCTCACTGGGGTAGACACTTCTAGTTCCATGTGCCATGTTTTAATGATTGTCAGTTATCAGTTATCTCCTGTTAATTTCCCTCTGAAAGTTCTCCACTGACTTAACCGGGTATTGAACTCACTTGGGTCCTGTCACTGGATCTAACCAACGCCTTTATCCACTGTGCCATGTGTCCTTAAGGGAAATTAACAAGAGATAACTGATAACTGACATCCATTAAACATGGCACGTGGAACTAGAACAGACTACACCAGTGAGCGAAATAAAGGGTTCAGTTCGACATTCCAACCACCTGAAGAAGGCCGGAGCGTACAGCGGCCGAGACGTTGTAATAAATATAGCGAGAAAGATGAGGACAATAGTCTGAATAATGTAAATAATGTACGTAATACCTCATTTTAGAAATATAGACAGATAATGAAAATATCGGTATAAACAAAGAAAGGAATGCTGTATTGCTATATAATATCAATTCATCTATCTGGTAGTGAACCCTGGAATATTTCCTTGCAGATTAAGAAGAGACATGAGGCAACAGATGTGATACTTCAAAATAATATTAAAATACCATGGAGTGAACATGTGAGCAATGTAGAAGTTTTAAGGATGATGGAAACAAAAAGGGTGATAATTATTAGAACCAGAAAGAGAGAGAGAGAGAGATGAATTATTTCGGTGCATAATGTGGCACCCTGCATTATTAGAAAAACTAAAAAGAAATATTCATAGAAATATGATTTAATTTTTATTCGGTTTATTAACCAGTTGTTAGTTATTTAGACGAAGAATAATTGAGTTTTGAGAATAATTCTCTAATTGTATTTAGGCGATCCTAAGGGAAGAAAAAAGAAAAAAAGAAAAGAAAGAAAGAAAGGAGAGGGAGAGATGAGTAATGCAAAAAGCCGGTCATTAGCGAAAACAGGTGTCAAGAGATATCTAGGCCAACGCGCCTGACCGAATTTCAAAAACAATGGAAATTGTTATTTGGAAGAATAGAATTAAAGGTAATTAAAAGAAAGAAAGAAAACAGACTTGGAAAAAGTGTATGAACATACGTACGATTGATAAAAATATCGGTCAAAGCATCTGGCCTACTTTTGTGTAGAAGCTCATTATCAATTTGGAGAAATGGGATTTTTAGAACAATGGAAAACGAAATATTAATCGGAGAAGGGTGTCTTTTGGGATGAGAAGGTGACCGCTGGAATTGTATACAGATCTTGACCTGTTGAAAATTAGAACCCCCACGATGATGAAGTGAAGACATTTTTAATTCAGATAATTAAGATTTTTGACTATCAGGTCTGAGCAAAAACAGAGAGGTGAAAACAATTGTTTTAGCTCACAGAAAGCGCCAGCGAGACGAGAAAAATTCTTCCTGAAGTCATATCTAATTAGCGGCAGGCTGTTTTGACAAAAGCCAAAAAGTGAGAAAGGCCGAGATTGTCATTTTTCGTGCGTGCGAAAAAGGCCAAATTGGATTTTGTTTTTTTAGCAAGGTGTCTCTTTCCCAGAACAAAGCCGGGATAGACCACGCCCGATTGGAGACGTCACGAAGGACGGGAGACGCCCAACCAGAATCTCATTAGCCGAAAGCGGTCACGTGATATGCGAGAAAGAGGAGAAAGGACGCTCGACCAAGACCCATTGGTCGAAAACGGTCACCTGACATACGAGAGACCGGGAGAGATGGGTATGCGCCTCCCCACCAGAGGCACTGTGAGGAAGTAGGGGTGAAAATAAGAGCGATAATGGGAAATCAGAACTAATGCGACTTTTGGAATTATCAAGAAAACCCTGACGCCGACAGACCCACCCCAGTTTGTTGCGGCGTCAATAAAAGCAGGACCCCAATCGACAGACGTCAGAGAGTTGCGGGGTAGACGGCCAGAGCAGTTGGAACGCGGGCGGCAGGCCCGGTTCACTCGCCCCCTTGCGGGTAAGAGAATCCGGAATGAAGAATTTCGTCCAGCCAAGTCGAAGAGAAGAAAATCGCTCGAAAACCGCAGAGAAGTTGCAGCCAAGTCGAAGAGAAGAAGATTGCTCGAAAGCCGCAGAGAAGTTGGAGAAGAGCTGCAGGCCAGACAGGCAGTAAAGTTGCAGGCCAAACAAGTAGAACAGTTCAGCCCCGGAAGGCAGAGAGAAGAGATCACCTCAGACGGCAGAGAGAAGAGTTCGGACCTTGGCGAGAAGAGTTGCAGGACGGAAGAAGAAGTTACTTGCAGTTGCGTCTAGAAGAAGTTGAAACCAGGCCAAGCCTGAGGGTGGAAATTCGTCCAACCCAAATCGAAGTGAAGAAATACGTCCAACTCAAGCCGAAGCGAATAAGCTCGTCCAACTCAAGCCGAAGAGAAGAATCAGCTGTGAACGACTGGTAGAGATTAGCGCCCAGTGTCGAAACCAAACCACACTCCGACATACAAAATTCTAGAGAGTAGGCGACTCGAAGTCTTTAAGTTGTATGATAGAAGCTTGGTGCCACAGTCCACAAAGCGGGTCGGGAAGTAAGAATAATTTTTATGTAACGAACGTTAGATATAAAAGGTTGTTACCCTTTTTATCAGTAATTTTTGGCCTCGTGAGTTTTCTTTTTACTTGTGTATTGCCACCCCGTCGAACTCAACTGGCATACGGCCCCAATCCCTGTTTGATCCCGTCTGTCTAAGATCTAATCACAACGTGGGTAGGCAGACCGGAGATCAGTACAGTTACCCTAGTAACCAGGTGTTGGAAGCGAGTTGGGAATGGCGAGGCTGGTAATCATCTAACCAAAGGGTTGGAACGTCACACTTGGAGCAGCGAGGAGCGAACAGCTGACGCCGCGGCAAAAACGTCACGTCACAGTTGGAGCCGCGAACGAGATCGAACGACAGAGTCGACGCTGCGACCAGGAGGAGCGACGTCACAGTTGGCGCCGTGACCAAAGGATTCGACCCTGGACCAAGTGACGTCACAATAATATGAAAAGAGGTTTTGGGGAATTTGATATTACAGGACATTTTGAAGGCGAGAGAGGCGGAGAGTAACCTCGAGTAATCTACATAAGACTTTATTTAAATAGATGGTAAATCAGGATATCGATATATAGTGAAGGGATAAACATTGCTTAGACCTCTAAAGGAAAGTACACTAAAGAATTTAATACGAAAGCTATATCCAATCTTTTACTTTCTATATTGATTTAGGTCATAAATGATAATGGATTCACACAGTTTCGTTCTTAATATATCTGATTTATCTTTTTATATTGATAAATATACTGATTTGGTTTCCTGTAATGGCATAAAAAACCTGTCAAATATAATAATTCTTTCAATAATAAACATTCTCTTTAAATTTAAGCCTTTATAATAATATAAAATGAGAAGCAGAACGTTTTCATACAAGTAAGTAACAATGATGTGATTTTTTGAGTTATTTAATCTTTACAATGAGGCGATCTTGAGATCACTAACTTATTACTAGTATTTATTATGGGCAGACACAATCTTAACAACATACGAAATATTACAGTGTTGAAAGCTGACACAGAAGAGGTAATGCAGTGATTGTGAGAAGATAGAATGCATGGATGCCAACAAGAGCAACCGCCCAATAGCAAAATAAGTATTGACGATGTACAACAAATATTAAAATTAAATTTAAATATCTAGGTATAGTTTTAACAGTGGACGGAAAATGTCACACAGAAATATGAAAACATTTGAATAACAAATGTTGTTTTCCAATCGCTAAACAAAGTATTAAAAAACAGGCAAATTTTGTGAGCTAAAAGAACAGAGTGCTGAACGACTATGCAATATCAATATTCCTTAATAGCAGTAGATTTTTGATGATATCCTCACAGATGAATAGGAAATTTTATTCAGCAGAAATACAGTTCTACAGAAAGACTTTGATGATGCCAAGACTAAAGGATGTATACAACTGGAATGTTTAAATAAAATTAAAGAAAAATTATAGCGTAATTAGAATAAAAAAGATTTGAAATTTCTTGAGTAAACAACGAGGAAAGATGGTGTAGAGAATTTAATACACACAGAATATAGGGACGGCGAAGGATAAAGATGTAAACAACGAGTGACTGACTTAACAAGCTTCTGTAAGTGGATGGCAGTAGGTATTTAGAGGGTTGGTAAAAAGTTGGTTGGTTAAATTTGTTCAACGTCATATCTATGGTTTATTTAATGCGGAATTCTAAATATTCTGTACGTGATTTTATGCTTTCAACTACAGATTTTTGTACATAATTTACACTTTCAGGGTAAATATATGTTTTTAGATATATATTTTGTAGATCATGAAATGTATTTTTGGGAATTTTACTATAAAAATATATTTGTATATTTATTACTGTTGCATTGATAGACATTTTGCTATAAAAATGTAATAATGATTTTTGTTTGGGGGTCTCACTATTTGACGATAGCTATGGCCTTAACATGCGCTAGCATCCATGGTCAAGGTGTACCTGGGAACAACAGCAGTATAGAGATGAGAGTAAACAGACAAATCTTACTAAGAATAACAAAATTATAAGAAGTTGTGAAGATCCATGGTCACCCCTGGCCTGAAAATATATATAATAGAAAAAAAAAACTCTTAAGAAAACGTGAATAGACGGTTTTGATTAACAAGTTACATTAAATCGGTCTGTCTTTGGTCATAAATCATGGATTATACATCCTCAACGAAGCAATAAATTCAAAGGCTGAGAGAACTTTGCCTACCTGAGGATACAAATGAAAAGCGTGTATTGACTCAAGGCTGGTGTCCGATTTCAAATGTAACTAGCCATTATATATTGTCATATCAGTCGAAGCAGAAAGCACTAGACACAAATCTGAAATCTAACCTCTATCTGTCTCCAACATTGTATGAAAGCAAACATGAAGGCAGTGGCATCCAGAGGCACAGAAGATGACGTGGTTGCCTTCCATGAATACCTAGCTTTGCATAACCGTCATCCACGAGAGACCATCCATCTATCATTCTTCATTTAGTCTCTCGGGTAGCAGCATACGAAAAGATACAGTAAGTGATGTCTATCTACAGAACATTTGATATCACTATCAGGCACCAACTGTCAGCATCTATCTGACTGACAATCTTTCTTCTTCTTCCCCGATCATACTTTCTAATATATATTACAGGCGTTTTCTATCTATCTATATATTTATTTCAGTCTTTTCTTATCTGTCTGTCCCAGTCTTTTCCGTTTACATTTCTAACTTAGTCTTTCGTTATCTTTCAATCTACCGTAGTTTTTTGAATGTATGTATGGTAGTTTTTTTTTTATATCTATGTATGGTAGTTTTTTTTTATATCTATCTATGGTAGTTTTTTTTTATATCTATCTATGGTAGTTTTTTTTTATATCTATCTATGGTAGGGGCTTTTTTATATCTATCTATGGTAGGGTTTTTTTTATATCTATCTATGGTAGGGGCTTTTTTATATCTATCTATGGTAGGGGCTTTTTTATATCTATCTATGGTAGGGGCTTTTTTTTATCTATCTATGGTAGGGGCTTTTTTATCTATCTATCTATCTATCTATCTATCTATCTATCGTAGGGTTAATTTTATCTATCTATCTATCTATCGTAGGGTTAATTTTATCTATCTATCTATCTATCGTAGGGTTAATTTTATCTATCTATCTATCTATCGTAGGGTTAATTTTATCTATCTATCTATCTATCTATCTATCTATCGTAGCGTTAATTTTATCTATCTATCTATCTATTTATCTATCTATCTATCTATCTATCTATCGTAGCGTTAATTTTATCTATCTATCTATCTATCTATCTATCTATCTATCGTAGCGTTAATTTTATCTATCAATCTATCTATCTATCGTAGCGTTAATTTTATCTATCTATCTATTGTAGGGTTAATTTTATCTATCTATCTATCTATCTATCGTAGGGTTAATTTTATCAATCTATCTATCGTAGGGTTAATTTTATCAATCTATCTATCGTAGTTTTTTTTATCTATCTATAGTAGGGTTATTTCGTAGGGTTATTTTTTTATCTATCTATCGTAGTGTTTTTTTTATATATCTATCTATCGTAGGTTTTTTTTTTATCTATTTATCTATCGTAGGTTTTTTTTTTATCTATCTATCTATCTATCGTAGGTTTTTTTTTATCTATCTATCGTAGGGTTTTTTTATCTATCTATCTATCGTAGGGTTTTTTTATCTATCTATCTATCGTAGGGTTTTTTTATCTATCTATCTATCGTAGGGTTTTTTTTATCTATCTATCGTAGGGTTTTTTTTATCTATCTATCGTAGGGTTTTTTTTATCTATCTATCGTAGGGTTTTTTTTATCTATCTATCGTAGGGTTTTTTTTATCTATCTATCTATCTATCTATCTATCTATCTATCTATCGTGTTTCTTTTATCTATCTATCTATCGTAGGTTGTTTTTTTTATCTATCTGTGTTTTTTTATCTATCTATCTATCTGTGTTTTTTATCTATCTGTGTTTTTTTTTATCTATCTATCTGTGTTTTTTTTATCTATCTATCTGTGTTTTTTTTATCTATCTATCTCTGTTTTTTTTATCTATCGTGTTTTTTTTATCTATCTATCGTGTTTTTTTTATCTATCTATCGTGTTTTTTATCTATCTATCGTGTTTTTTATCTATCTATCGTGTTTTTTATCTATCTATCGTGTTTTTTATCTATCTATCGTGTTTTTTATCTATCTATCTAGCTATCGTGTTTTTTATCTATCTATCTATCTATCTATCGTGTTTTTTATCTATCTATCTATCTATCGTGTTTTTTATCTATCTATCTATCGTGTTTTTTATCGTGTTTTTTTATCTATCTATCGTGTTTTTTTTATCTATCTATCTATCTATCTATCTATCTATCTATCGTGTTTTTTTTATCTATCGTGTTTTTTTTTATCTGCCCATCTATCTATTGTAGTTTTTTTTTTTATCTATCTGCTGTAGTTTTTTTTTATCTATCTATCTAGCTATCTATCCCGGTCTTTTTCTTATCTATCTATCCCGGTTCTTTGAGGAAATTTTCAAACCTCTCAGAGTTTTCATATCAGTATTGTCATTAATTTCGTACTTTCTCCAGAGATCAAACAGGAGACAGTGCATATTATAGTTGGTTAATTTTTGACTCAAATGCTTTTACGATTGCATGGTTTAATATATAATGTTGCATCATTCTTTTTTTATTATTTTTATTCTTCCCTGAATTGCCGCTCATTTATAAATTTAACATTTTTTTTCAACTTTTTTTTCAACTTTTGTTTCTTAAATTCTAAATGTTTGACACTTTAAATTATTTTTCGACCGCCACTTTCATTAAAACCTCCAGTTTATTGCATAGTGGGAAATATATCAGTACCGTAATTATTAAGCCACATTAATATTTTTTATAGGCTGCATTCATGTGCGTGCGCACATAAAAGCAAAATTACATTTTTCACCTGTAATAAATATATATGCCTCTGTGCTGTTTGTCTCTGTATCTATGAGCATAAGTATGAATTTACCATGAAAACAATTTTTATTAAAGACTAAACTAAATTGCCTTGTATGTATGCAAAAGAGTTCATTCCTGTACTCGTTCTATGTAACTATTGTATTTATTTTTGCAATGATGAGATTTCGGAAGTACGACTGTTCTATATCAAGAAGGAGATATTGATGCTTAAATTATTAATAACATTTATCCTCAACATAGCCGTATAACATTTGTTATCGTTATGTTAGAATGTATATAATGCAAAATGATCCAGTTGATCTTCACTGGGTAAATATACTTAAAATACAGGACCTAAGCACTAAATTGGATCCAGAATGTTTTCTCTTCTATGTAAGTAGTTAACAAAAATACATTCATCACCTTCGGTGAATAAACATTTTTGAATAATAATAATAACTGAATATATGTGGTAGTTTTCATCTGAAAACAGCTTATTTTATAACTTTGATTGTTGGTGAGACGAATGATAATAATAATAATAATAATAATAATAATAATAATAATAATAATAAACAAAATGTTTGATGTGACTCTTTTCAATATTTTTCAACACTTAGGGAAGAGTGCGATTTAAGAAAAAAAGAAAGGACAATGTTCAATATTTCAACAGTACGTTTGTCTTCTTCAAGATAAATTTAAATAAAAATGTATACAAGTATTAAATTATTTATATAAAAAAAATATTAAAAAATCCTTTTGTACCAACGTCGCTTGTGTTTAGAAAATCTTGCACTAGTAAAAAATCGCACAAAATGAATGAAATACATTGTTAATAATGAAATGACAGTATAACAAGGTTAATAATAATAATTTTATTATTATTATTATTATCTTAACAGCTATTATTATCTTTAATAATAATAAGACTTGATATTAATACTACTACAACTGCTATAACTATAACAACCTTCTGACTGAAATTGCCAGAATATATATATTCACGCCAATAATGACTGAATTATCATTGGGGCTTTTGAGCCTATGCATTGAGAAAATCTTAATGAAGCCTAGTATACCATCGTTTCACCTATCTGCGTTGCTTGGCACTGGAAATATTCTGCTAAAATTGCAATCTGTGTGTGACTGTTGGGTTTTATTATCATCATTCTACCGTAGTCGAGATCATCAAGCTAATGCGAACGATCATTTTTTTTTTAGCTGTATTGTATTTGCTATGCCAGAGTTATAGAACCCAGTACGTCCTGCTATTTACCCATAGATATTACGAATTAATGAAGCCTTAATACAATATCTTCGGTCGGAAACGATAATCTGCGCGAACGAAAGAAATAATAATAATAAATGCGCAGAACCGGTTACTACTAAGGAACGTATATCAATGTAAGAAAAATATAAATACTGTACATGTTAAAAATCACATAATATCAGAATTTTTGCAAACAAATGCGTAAATTTTCAATAATGATTTATCCTTAGCCTCAGCCAATGTCTAGTCAAAAGATTGATGCAATCATAATCAAAAGAAAAAGAAGATAATAATAATAATAATAATAATAATAATAATAATATTTTATTTCCTTTCATTTCTAGTGTATATTCATTTATTTTTCAGTCCGGACAAGAGACCTAAAGTCAGAAATGGCATCATGTCATTTCCCACTGAGTAGTTTCGAAAAGAAAATCACATATTTTACATAGATACAGCGCTTCGTAAGTTGTGGGTTGTACTTGGGACAACATTTTTTTTTATTTCTTTAAGGCATGGGCTACCAGGGATTCCTTTAAGGAGTCTATTAGAATCATTTCCAGTCAACCAGAGGGCTCCAATTACTACGGGAAATTTTTTATGTCCTCATATTCTACTTTTTTGAGATTTTGATTTCAAGTTCCTTGTATTTTGAAGATCTTCAAAGATAAATTGCAGTCTGCATAGATGGCAATGTCAATGAGAAGGCATGTTTTGTATTCGCGGTCTTTAATCGCCTTTGATTGTTCTGTCTATGTCTATTGTATTGTTCCATAAAATTGTTCATGTCCTATCTCCCTAGTCGAGTCTGGTTGGTGTTCATACGAATTTCTTGCAGTTTTCTTTCCGTAAATTTGCAGAGTTTCCAGTGCAGATATTGGCCTAATCTGACATGCCGAGTTTTATATTCAGTGGGTTCAATAACGCACAAGGCGATACAAGATGGTCAATGTTTTCTGGATATTTAACACAGAATTTGCATTTTGGACTAACACAATTTTTCAGTATGCGTGCTTGGGTAATTTCTTGTAAGCATGCAATGATTCTATGCAGGAAGAATAAAACTTTCGGTTTTAGATTTTAGCCCTGCACTATAGACACTCGAGGGTACGGGGTTTGTCTACATCAGCTTGTTTGGTTCGGGCAGAGTATTGATCGTCAAGCGATTATTCTTGCCATCGTTTCTGTATATGGTCGGTGGCATTTGCCTTTGCTATCTTTTTAAGTATTTTGCAGCTGCAGTCGACCTTTTATGCTTTACTTGCATTTCATCACCCAATTGAAACGAAATTTTGATCTTTTTGGTTTCCTTTATGAATTAATATATTTTTTTAAACTTCTTTCATGTTTTTTGACAGATATCATCATCCAGTTTTCTGTGATGTCCAGGTATCTTTAAAGGTCAATTGTTGTAGGTTTGTAAGACTGTTCTAGTTGAAATAATCCCCTTTCTCCTTCGGATCTGGGCACATACAGACGATCAACATCAGCCTTGGGATGATACATGCGGTGGCATGTGATAAGCTTTCTAGTTTTGGCGTCCATGCCAGCTATGGTCGAGTTAAATATGTTGAAATTGTACTGCCTCACAGGGACAGCCAATGTATTTATAGCGTATATTCAGTTTTTTTTTCTTTTTTTAATTCGGCTATGTATTCAGTGCCAGACCCACATTCCTGTATTTCGCCTTTCTTATGTTCTCCTTCATTTGACTTTGCTCTATTCCATTTCTTTCTATATACCTTGGTACCTACAGGCTTCTTTTCCCATTCTCTAATATTTGTGACAAAATCTAAATCTATTTTCTGATATTCTGTAATTTTCCCTTTCTTGAATATTACTTTTCACATTTATCTAATCTGAAATCCATACCATACCTATGCCATCCATGAAATATTTTACATTACTGAGGAGACCCTTCAATTTTTTGTCCTCTTTGGTAGAGTTTCAGACCATCCGGTAGAGTAAGTGGTTGAATACTTTCTTGTTTAGATTTTATCCATATCTATTATTGTTTAGTTCATGTGTTACGGTGATTAAGGACATACAAAACAGAAGGGGTGACAGGGAGTCTCCTTGAAAGATTCCTAGTCGGATATTCAGGTGGTTGTGGGTGGCAATGCCTCTGGTGTCATTACGGAATAATGTGGTTTTCGACATTCACCTTGCTGTGTTTAATGAAATTTACTATTGCCGGAGAGGCTTTGTACATTTCCAGAGTCTAAAGGATCAAAGAGTGTGATCTATCCATGCTGTGCTAAAATGTCTACGTCGTCTCCTGCAATATTCCAGGATCATTTTGTTTATCAGTACTTGATATTTGCAACCATATAAACCTCTCCTGTATCCCTTCTGTCCCTTTGGAAGACTGTTGTTTGCTTCGAGAAAAGAGTAAATACGTCTTGTCTGGACAGACTAGATAAATTTATACGTTGTGGACAAACATGTTATTGACCTATAATTTTTCAGGTCATATGTTTCACTCGTTTTTTGGCATGAGATATGTAATATCGCCAGTGATCAATTCTGGGACTTCATTGGGATTATTAATAAGCAATGATAGAGTCTGTGACAGGGTTTTATAGATTGAAGGCTGGTGATATAGCATGAAGTTTAGCACCTTGACATTTTCTGGGGATTTCCATTTCTACGACGTTTTTAGAGATTGCCTAACATAATTCGTGGTTATATTTTCCCATTCTTGCAGATGTTTACCCAGCATTTGTTCTTTACGTTGGATCTATTCTGCATTGGGATTGTATTCTTTTGTCTTGCTTCAAATATTCTCCCATAATTTTTGTACTTTTTCAGTTGATAGTGGCTTTTTGTCATTTGTAACTGCTTTTCCACTTTCCCTGTAATAATTCTTAATGTCCGTTTGAAAGATTTTATTTTGGCGGTAGAGCGTACAACATTTTTCATATCGTCTTGTTCTCTGTGCCTTTAACTGCAGTTTCTGTTTTAGCATTTCCTTGATTGATGGAATTTTATTTAGTGATTTAATTTTATATTTCCGCCTGATGTACCTGCATTTGTCTGTTGCGACAGTTGAGTTCCTTGTGATGATCACATCTAGTATCGAAATCTTGCATATGATTTCCAGTAGCTGCTAAAGCTGTAGCCTATATGACATTAACTTCTTTTATGTTTACAAGTGGATTGTCCGTTAACAGTGTTTCACGTACAGCGTTGTATATTTGCATAATGTGTTTATTGGACTTTGTTATGTGAATTTTTGAGGGC